TGATATTCTAAATTGCCTTGTTTAAGATTTGTTTAGTTGATTTTGATCTTATTATGATGTATTAAGATTCAATTATGCTAGTTCTTCACGAATTAATCTATGTTGTAAAGTAGAACATGAATTTAACCAAAATCCCTTACCCTATGCTATGAACTAGTGATGAATTGTTGTATAGTGATTCTATTAACTTCACTATTGTATTGATTACTATGGTATGATGATACTACACCTATTGTTGGAATGAATTTGATGGTTGATGGTAAAACCTTGATGATGGCTTGTAAAGGTAATTAGGGTAAGTTTGTGATCTCAATCCTTTACTTCAATTATGATTACTTGTGTTTAGTGATGAAGTTATATTGAATTATACCTTATGATAAGATTGACTAGGGTTTGTATTATGTTGAATTGGAATGTCTTGAATTATTACTTGTGAGTTGTTGGCTAAGATGTAAAGATATCAGCATGCTGATGACTTACCTATGTGCCTTATTATCATGTGAATATGTAAATATGCTAACCTCAAAGGTGTGAGTTCTAATGAAAGTACAATACCCATGCATTTCCTATTGATCTATGATTATGACTATATAAGGGGTAGACCCTATGACCTAAACTAAGCTTTGATAAAAATGAATGACTTACACTCATTTCATAAAAGGACTCTAGCTTAACACCGAGTGATCTTAAAGATGAGGGGTGGAGAAGTGGATCGCCTCTTGTCCCAAAAAGGGCGTAGAGTGATATTTCCAATAAAGGCCTCCAAGTTCTATAAAATATGTTTCCTCCGTAGGAATACTAGTTAGGTAGATCCACCTAGATGCTATGTTCATGTTTTGTAATACAATGGCAGGTAGACCACCTTCCTTCGTTGTATGTTTTGACCGCACCAGATTCCACTCTTAGATCTTCTAGTCTATGTAAGTTAGCGCAAGTGTTCCTAAAAGTAAAATTAAGTAATGAAGTAAGCACTAAATAAAGTGACTTAAGAGGCTATGTAACTCTACCTATGCCTTACATTAGTTTACCTTGAGGGAAGCCTTAGGAGGTTTTTATTGTGTTTTATAATGTATATATTATGTATATGTTGACTTTACATGTTATTCACTCTATATAATGTTACTTTCTTATGAGCATGTTGTCGCTCTATATTTCTAAAATATGATAATAGTTACTCTTCATGTTATGATATTTTATGTTAGGCAATTCTTATGGTCCTTGATTTGGTTTACTTGATTGGGTGAGGCTATGGGGTTGTTCTTTGTCATTGGACTTGTAGAATTTATAATGGATTGTGGGTAAGGGTCTAGCATGTATTGAAATGTTATGAAGTTCTTGTATATTTGCCTTGTGGTTATAATATGATAATTGAAGTTATTTTGCTATGCATATGTTGAATTTACTTAGTATTCCTTGTGTGGAATATGTCATTGCCTTGATGATTATGTGTTTTAGTGGTTGAGCTAGTTTCTTAAAGTGCGTAAATGGGACTTTTACAGTAACTTGCATGTTTTCAACAAATTGTCCCTTTTATAGCCTGATTTCTATGTTGTGTGTGCATCGTTTCCATACTTAGTACAAGTTATGTGCTAACCCTTATTTTATCCCTTTTTCCGAACATTTTAGGTTCCGGTCATTGTCGATATTTAGGCCATTGAATAAGAGCTGAATCCTCATTCTCCAAGTTGGGTAAGTCCTTATTTCTTCAAGCACAATGCCATTTTCTAGCATTGAATGTTGATTAGTCTTAAAGACACTTTGTTCATTCTCTTTCATTTGAGTACTATGATTATATAACCTATATGTGGCTTTTATATTATTTATGTATGGTCTATGACCAATTCTTATACTCTTGTTTTCATGGTTATGATATGAGGCATCTGTTTTAAGACTATATTGTATCTTATATATATGTGTACCATAAAAGTAGAAGACTATGTAATGTTCTTATACGAAAGGTCTATGTATACTCAATATGAATATATTATCTGTGAGCGAGAGTTCAAAGTAAACCTAATGAAGTTATGTACATGAAAAGTTTTAAATGTTATGCATTTTTTACCTATGATGTAATGATAAATGATAAGAGGCTAGTCTTAGTCCTCTCCGAGGATGAAGAAGTCGGTTACGTCTAGGGGGTTCTCCTTTGATGTGACAATTTCACTTTATAGGTATAATTTTTTTTTGTTATGGGACCAAGAATTGATATAGATTAATTTGCAAATTTCACCAACATTTTGTATCTTCACTCATAAAAGAAAACTTGAATAACCTCAACCTCCTAGACGCATGAGAGATGTTTTTAAACACAAATGGCGTACACACCTCAACAAAATTTCAAAGGTGTTCATGGAGGTACTCATTAGTTAAACCTCCCAAACATTCCTCTTAGTTGAATCAATTGTAGTTACAATACAGTTACATGAATCACTGTCCTCCCGGTTATGGGAGATATCCGGATGACTCCCTTAGTTAGTACAATATTGACGTGCATATCTTTCAAATCACCTATGTTATTTTGACTGTAGTTACTATCATGTTCATTATCATGGTCACTCATTGTATTAGACCTGCAACTCAACCAACAACAAACCTAAACAACAATTTCTTCCAACTAAGTAAATTTACAACCTAATTCCTCAAATAGAATTCTCAACAACCAGTATCCGATTGCTGTACCATTTTTGTAACTCTGATATGTACTCTCTAAAACTGATTAAAAAGAGACACTGTTCGTAATCATTAAAAATAACTAACTAAGAGTCAAAATCGAAATGTTTTTCTCTATTAAGTAAATCTACCAATCATCATGTCTTTAATGAGGTGTTACAATGTGGTTATTATAACAGCATGTACTCATAAGTATCTTGAAGTGATTGGATCTTTAGAAGTCTTGTGTGGCATGGCGTAACTTTTTCCTCTTTTATGTAAGGAGGTTTTCACGTAAGAATTTTTGTTCTTTACTTTAAGCATTTACTGTTTTTTCTATTATTAATACAATCAAGGGACCTTATCTTGTAGCTCGTGAAGAATTCATAAAAGTCAACAAATATAAAGTCTGTCATTTCATGTAGAATCAAGTGGACTTTTTAAAGATAAAAGTTTACGCCCTCGGTGGTTAATATCTCTTATTTTTTCCATTATCTATACATAAAACAAATAGAGGGGGACAATATCCTAAACCTCTTTTAATAAGCATTAATATATATCGTTGAAAAAGATCATATACAACAAAAACATAAGAAAGAAAAATCATAGATAGAGACTCAGAATCTTTTTTTTTTGCATGTCTTAAGCAGGGCATCGCAATGACATAATGGTGTACATACCCGATGCATATTTTTGCAAATCTTTAGGATAAAAAACCAAGACGTACTTTCTATATAAATTATATTTAGCTACTACATGTGCCACTTGATTCCCTTCTATGAAGCAATGTCGACGTATCACATTGGCATGCAAATTAATTCTTCTAGTCTACATAATAGCATCCCGCAGTTTCCAAGCCATTTGAGATTAATCCTTAATCATATTGGCAAAAACTACGAAATCACATTCTAAAATAAAGTCTGGATAGCAATTTTCTACGCAAACTTTGGATCCAAAATAGGCTGGTATGACCTCTCTTATATTGCTCGTACCTCTCCATCATAGCCTTAAACCCACAACCACCTAAATCAATCGGAAATTTAACTATTTACCAGTTCTCCAATAGAATTTACTCAGTTGTCTATCAACTTGTTTAAGGATTGATATTGTAAGACAAGCTTAATCGATATTGTTCGTCCCCCAATGGAGAGGAGATTTTTTTTCCATATTGTAGTTCCTTTGGTTATTCCTATTGGTTTAGTTGTAACTTAATTAAAACACTATATTCATTAAATAAATCACATTTCTTAATTGAAGAACTAAACATCTTTCTAAGTATAACTTGTTTAGTTTTAACTTAATTCAAACACTATATTCACCAACTAAAGCACATTTATTCATTTGAAGAACATAACAACTTTCTAAGACTAATTAGTTTAGTTTTAACTCAATTCCAACACTATTTTCACCAACTAAATGACATTACCCGATTTGAAGAACATAATATCTTCCTAAGTCTAATTAGTTTACGTTTAGCTTAATTCAAATACTATATTCACATCCTAAATCACATTAACATATTTCAAGAACATAAGAACTTTCTAACTCTATTTAATTTAGTTTTAACTTAATTCCAATATTATATTCACAAACTAAATCACATTAACTTATATAATGAACTTCACAACTTTCTAAGTCTAATAAGTTTAGTTTTAACTTAATTGAAACACTTTATTCACCAAATAAATCACATTACCTTATTTGAACAACTTAACAACCTTCTAAGTCTAATTAAGTTAGTTTTAGGTTAACTCCAATACTATATTTAATAAATATATTATTTCTAAATTTCAAGCTAAGTGTCAACACTAGATGGACACAAATCTATTTTGCAGGAAAATCAACTTTGTCATAAATAGTATCAACTAGTATTGGTACTTATGCTTAATAAATATATTATTTCTAAATTTGAAGTTAAAGTGTATACACTAGATGGACACAAATCAATATTGCAATAAAATAAATTTTCTCATCAATAGGATAAATAGTGTGTGTACTTATGCTTAACAAATATATTATATCTAAATTTAAAGCTAATTGTCAACACTAGATGGACACAAATCGATCTTTCAAGAAAATCGATTTTGTCATATAATAGGATCAACTAGAGTTGATACTTATACTTAACAAATATATTATTGCTAAATTTCAAGCTTAGTGTCTACACGAGATGAACACAAATCAATCTTGAAAGAAAATGAATTTTGTCATTAATAGGATCAACTAGTTTTGATACTTGTACTTAACAAATATATTATTTCTAAACATAAAGCTCAGTGTAAGCGCTAGATGGACACAAATCGATCTTACAAGAAAATTGATTTTTCATCAATAGGATAAACTAGTGGTGATACTTATACTTAACAAATATATTGTTTCTAAATTGAAAGCTAAGTTTCAACACAAGATGGACACAAATCAAGTAGGTGGATACACAGACTTTATAGAAAATAATTGTACTTGAACTTTAGAGATTTCGAATCACCAAACCTTATCTCCTACTTTAATGAAAAAAACAGTAAAATCTTGTATCAACTTTTTAAATGTTGAGCTTCTTGTGTTTCCTAGCAAGAAAAGAGGGAAAAAAGTTAACAGTAGAACAATAGAGTTTGAACCTACTTATACGCACATGTTATATACAAGAAGATCAAGTAGGTCATGAAGTCATACTCTTAAGTCATTTGTTTTTTTATTTTAAAATAGTTTAATTTGATTCACTAACATCAAGAGCTCAACTCAAGTATGGATTTCCACTAACCTACTAATTTATCCCAAACACGACGATGTATGATTGTTTTCTTTTTGATAGAACCATTTATTAACAACAAAAAGATTACAACTCTACCATAATAATAACACTTCAAGCATTTCAATAGACAAATTTGGGAAATATTTTTTCAACAACATATTCTAATAACACGTGAAGCACTTCAATTAACATCTTTTAAGGGATATGTGCATACAAGAACGCAAACAAATTCTGGAAAAAACATAAAGAATAAATTAAACTAAGTATATTAGAACTCTATTTTGAGACACTTCAACTAAATGGAAACAAAAAAGATTTATTAGGAAGGTTCTAAAAATTCACCTTGAGTTGAAGATATGGAACGGCACCGACCCACGGCTGCAGTTGCACGACCCACTGCGCAAGATGGTGATGGACACGCCACCGGTGGCGATATAGGCGGCGCAACTTCCAACACAGAGGTGCGACCCACTACTGCGCGCGGCCTGAAGATGGCATTGGGTAGCACCGGTCGGGCCAAGGTGCGATGGGCAGCGGCAGTCGGAGAAAGTTGGATGGTGGCGGACTGTCGAGCAAGTTGGATGGCATGAGTGAGAAAGAGATATTTGGCTTAGGATTTTTATATTATCCTTTTTAAGAGAAGTGTTTAATTTACCGACAAAGGGATATTGGTATTTTTAGAATAATTAATATACGGACCACATAATATCGGTATTTTTAAAAGTAGTCTATATTTAACAATATTTAATAAATATCGACATCTTTAAGTTGATATTATTGAAATAAAATAATAATTTAAATATACAAACCTCTTTGTGTTTATATACATACATATATATATATATATATGATGGATAGTGCACAAGTACCCCCTGAACCTATGCTGGAAATCTCATCGACACACTTTTTCTATACTCAGGTTCTACTAACCCCCTACACTTATTTTATAAGTAATTTTCTACACCTTTTTCGCCTAGGTGACACTATCTTTTAAAAAAAGTCAACCATAATTAGGATTTGAATACTACACTTGACATACGTTAAAGATCGAAAGTATATATAATAATATCATCTCGCATTTCATACTCAAATAGATTATATGTTGGCTCTTCACCTCTACATCATAGAATGAGATATTAAGTTCAAAATTAGACGACGGACTAATAGATTTGTATATTACTCAATAAATATAAGTATAATTATATCCTAATTTATATCAATGCGGTTTCATACACTAAATATGGATTGTATATATTGTTTTAATGTATTCCATGAAGTCTAACTTTTATTTGTAAAAGTATACAAAATTGTTACCCCTTTTGAACGATTAATTGTATGCTTTTAATTAAATTTTTGTAGTATGCTAAATGGATGAAATTATGATTAATATAAATATGTTAAATAAATCGACCTCCGGATGTGTCTTTTATGAAGACATCGAGAGGTATATATATATGTAAGTATGTGTGTGTGTATATATATATATATATATATATATATATATATATATATATATATATACACACTTCTTAATTATATAAATTTAATTTTGTCGATCAATGAAAGTTTATCAATATCAAATCTACTATATATATCTCCTTAAATTGATCATCGATATTTATTTTATTGATAATGTATTTCGTATATAATTATTTAGGGTATTTCATACTCAGATTAAGTATTTTTTACATGTCATTATAATTAGATAGTGATCACTGCACTTGACATATATTCAAGATCAAAATTATATAATAATATTATCTGGCATTTCATACTGAAATAGATTATATGTTATCTCTTCACTTCTACATCATAACATGAGATATTAATTTAATGATTAGACGATGTACTTATAGTTTAGTACATTACTCGATAAATATAAGTATAATTATATAATAATTCAGATCAATATAGTTTCATACTCTAAATATGGATTACGGATATTTTTTTATTTTTTCGACGAACTTTATCTTTTTATTGATAAAAGTATACAAAATTAATACACTTTTTAGAAAATTAATAGTAATTTTCAAAGGAAATTTTAGTATTATGCTAAAAAATAAAATTTATAATTAATAGAAATATGTTAAACAAACCGACCTTCGAATGTCGCTTTTATTAAAATGAATTAGATATAATAAGAAAAATATCGATCTCATGAGTTCGATCTCACATTAAATTTTAAGGAAAACAAAAGGAATCATATTAAATAATAATGAGATCTATAGGTCGGTATTTTAAAATAGTTTATTTTTAACTTATATAAAACGACATAATACATATATTGGACCCTAAACATGGCTTCAAATATTAACTTGGACCTCAAACTTTCCTAGTGCACAAATAGGCACTTTATCTATCCTATATTTCAATAAATAAACACGCGATTTTTGAAGCCAAACTGCATGAAATGCAAACGCTGCCATGTATATTAGTGATCCAATCAGTGAATGCCAACCAACTAAACATTTTAATTAATATAAAAGAGATTCATTACCGGTAGAATTGTCATTTGGAATTTTTTTTTAACTTTGTGGGCCTCGAAAATTACTCCTTACTCGCGAAGAATGCGTGCATTTAACAAATTTTGCTACGTTGGAATCGTGTGTTTATTTGTTGAAAGATGGGATAGTTAAAGTGCCTATTTGTGCACTATGAAATATTGAGGTCAAAGTTAAAATTTGAAGCAAAGTGTAGGGTCCAACCATCATCTAGAGTACGATTTATTTAAAGTTAATTGAATTTTTTTTTCCTGAAAGCCATGATATAAATATTTAAATTAAAACTTATTAAATTGCATGATATTTAATTTTACCAATTTTTGAAAGTCGGTATTATAATTTATTTTTCTTTACGCAAAACCGTCCTCATGAGGTCGGTATTTAACAAAAATAACATCATCGACCTCATGATGTCGATATTTGGATGAAGAAAAAATACCGACCTCATGGATGAAATGAAAATACCGACTTCATGCTGTTAGTATTTGGATGAAATAAAAATACCGACCGCCTCATGTTGGTATTTTGATTTCGCTGAAATAAAGTGCCAACCCCATGAGATCGGTATTTTGATGAAAGAAAAATACTAATCTCATGAAGTCAGTATATAGATGAAGTAAAAATATCTACCTTATGAGGTCAATATTTGGATGGGAAAAAAAACGACCTCCTGATGTACGTATTTTAATGAAATAAATATACCGATCTCATGATGTAGGTATTGGGATATCGATGAAATAAACATACCGATCACATTAGGTCAATATTTGGATGAAAGATTAATACCGATCTCATGAAGTCGGTATATAGATGAAGTAAAAATATCGACCTCATGAGGTCGATATTTGGATGAAGAAAAATTACCCACTTCATGAGGTGGGTATTTGGATGAAATAAAAATGCCGACTTCATGATATAAGTATTTGGATGAAATAAAAATACCAACGGCATGATCTCAGTATTTGGATATGGATGAAATAAAAATACCAACCTCATTAGGTGGTATTTGGATGAAAGATAAATATCGATCTCATGATGTCACTATTTTATATTAATATATTTTTTAATTTACATAAAATCGTCATCCAATTAATTTAATGTTAATTAAAAATATCAATTTATAAATTTATGGAACTCAATATATAAATATTTTAATAAAATTTTTTATATAATTATAAACTATTACTTTTACTAACGTCTAGTTTGTCGGTATTATAATATTTTTTGTTTTTTATTTTACATAAAATCATCCTTCAAAACGAAATTTAAATAAAATTAAATCAAAATATTTCTCAATTTTTTTTATTTTATTGAGAATAAATAAAATATGTTTATACATTTACTTTATTTATTACCGACATCATGAGGTCAGTTTTATTTTATTTCATTTTTCTGCAAAAAATACCGACCCACTGAGGTAATAATTTTTTTCCTTCTTTATTTTGCATAAAAACCAAATATTTTTATTCTTCTTAATAATATTGACCTCCTAAGGTCGGAAATTACCGATTGCATTTCAGGTCGGTAATGTTTAGATCACTATTCACTATTTTTTAGAAGTGTTATATATCATACAGCTAGTCGGCCTTATATAATGTATAACGTATGAAAGTGTGCCCGATCTCAAGCGTCTCCGAAGGAATCACATCTCACGGCAATAAAACAAATCATTCCCTAACTTATTGGAACCAAGGAGCTAGGACTATGGTATCCTCATTCTACTCATTTTGATTTAAGGGTAAAGGGTCTTATATACCCCTCAACTTTGTCATTTAGAGCTGATATATTCCTGGTTATTAAAGTGGCCCAAATATACCCCTACTTCTAAATAAATGGCTCACATATACCCTTTTCCTCTATCGGAAATGAAAAAAAAATATTTTAATCTAAATTTTTATTGTTTTTTTCTAAAAAAATATAATTCCATATGAGTAAATTTAATCCTCGTCAAACAAATTTTTTTTGTTTCAATGACTAATATATAATTATTATTTTGATAATCAAATTTATTTATGTTTCACTAATATTTTTGTAAAATTTATTGTAGATGACCAAATTTTTTCTTCTAATACGAAATTAAATTACAATACACAAAAAAATTGTTTAATTTTTTTATTTCTTTAAACTAAGGAATGAAAGAAATAAATAAAATAAGAATTAGAAACTCAAATAATTATAATAAAAGTAGTCAAAAATAGTTTATGTATGAAAAAAATTAAAATATACCTTCAACTTTGATAGAATAACAATGTATACCCCTAAATATTTTTTTTTACAAAAATTATAAGTAGTAAATATAAATTGTAAACTAATTTTTTTAACTACCGTCAAATGAAGGGTATATGTGAGACATTTTGTAACGGCAGGGGTATATATTAGCCAATTTTATAACGAGGGGTATATCAGCTCTAAATGACAAAGTTGAGTGGTAAATCAGACCCTTTTCCCTTAATTTAATGGATTATTCATATGGTCACTTTGCAGGTGACAAAAATGACCCAAAAAGCACTGGTCGAACATTCCAAATCTTAGGACACTATCTGGTCTCACGAAATATCAAGAAACTAGCTTCGGTTGCCTTATCAACCACATAATTTGGATACTTAGTGTTTGGAAGTTGTGGTACTCAAATTTTATGGAAGATGCATCAATTACTTGATAATGATCTTTCTTATGAAACTATTCTTATTATCTGTGATAGTACTTAAGTCTTTCAAAATATATTGTGCATTATTCTAGGGCTAAGCATATCGACATAAAGCATTATTTTATTTGTGATCATGTTGGAAATGATGATTTTCTCTTGAATTTGTAGACTCTAAAAATCAATTAGATGATATTTTTACTAAATCTCTTCTTAAGGAAAGATTTTGCTGTCTCAGAAATCGCCTTGGCATGAAATGTGTTGACTAATTCGTTGTACTTTACTATTTATTTATTTTATTTCCATATGCATTTAATGTGTTTTCTAGTTTTTTAATTTAGTAATTATGACCTGCTTCCGCTTCTTCCATTGCGATTCCCTTCCCTTTCTTATCTGATCGCCTTTCTTTTCTCTCCTCTTTTTTCTTTTTATTTATCCTTTCCTTCACTCTCTTCTACTCTTCATCTCAC